AAACCTTCGGATAGCTGGCCGGAAAAGAGGAGCTGTCTGAGTGCAATATATAGTTATTTGGTACGTGGCATCGTTGGTAGAAACTACGTTGAGTTTCTGGAAGTGGAGGGGGGCAATGCTTGGAGTTTCTGACATTACATGATTGAAGATGATTCAAGTAAAGGTGAGCCTAACTATTAAGTTGCCTGGTCACAGGAAGTGGACGCTTCAATTGTGCTGCTGGACTCAAGCTCAAGCACTCACACCATGTGGGAACAGTGCGTAGGGCTAGAGCGGACTGACAAAGCAATCCAAATCCAAGCCAGAGGTACTGAAAACAAGCCTCTCCCTTCTCGCAAACCTGCAGATCAGATCAAAACCTTCTTGACACCTCAGTCAGAGAACCCAGAAAACACGAGCACCACACCGATGACCTGAACCCCTGATGTTCACTTGCCGCCCCACACATCCTGCGCCAGAGGAAGCACCTCCACCCGCGCCGCCTGCAGAGACGGAGGAGGAGGCGGACTCGTTGCGCCGAAGGACTTGGAAGCGGTTGCCCGTCGGGGAGGCCCAAAGGGAGGAAGCAATGCCGTAGGGGGACCAATGGCTTTGGGTGAGCTTCTTGATCCGAATTTTGACCCAGAGATAATCTTGACCTAAAATTTTGTTAATCTACAAGCTTGTTGGGACCCATGCATGGCTTTGGCCAAGGATTTTGTTTGACCTATCTAATAATGGGGCTGCACTCAGACGGGAGTGAGCCTGGAAGGTTGGTGTTCCGACTTCCATGTTGTTTCTGGAGGGTGGCTGGGTTGGAGATGTTGTGTTCTCTTTCTGGCATATGAACAGAGTTTGGCCGCGAGCTTTGACAAAACTCCTGGCCAGCAGTAGGGGGCCAAGGTTGGTGGCAGAATGCACCTGGAGTGGAGTTTCAAGGGAGCCAGTGCTACATTTTTGATCTCAGTTCATGTCAGAGTTTCCGGGTGTTTAGCCTGTCCACGTGACAGAGACAATCTTCCTGAAGTTGAGGAGGGTTCACCCCCCTATGGATTTGAGTGACAGGGCTGGAAAGATGGTAGGCTCAGGTCCAATCCTTTTGACCACACTGAGGACCGCCCACTGGAAGAGGACCGAGTCGCCCGCACTTCGAAGCCAGATCTGCCGAGAAAGCGGCGGGGTAAGACAAGATAGAGAAAGCGAAATCACTTCCTTTGACGCGGCATTGTATGTCCGACAGGCTGTTTCTCCAAAGTCTGACCAGTCTACACTCCAGCCGACTGTGAAAACAGGCCCTGGAGAAATGGTTTAATGTGGACTCTTGATGAATAACCCCACCATTTGAATTGGAAAATCCTCTTCATATGGGGGGTTTATTAATCAAGAGTCTACATTAGGGATGGTTTGCAGTTCGAAAAACCGCCCTTGCAGTCTGCCAGGAGCCGGCAGAGCAGAGCTCTCGTGTGGCTCCCCAGTGGCCGCCAGCCAGATGCCATCCACTTCCAGTGATTTCCGTTAAGCCAGTTCCGCAGATACTGCATAATATTTGGGTATAGGAGTGGTGAGTGCCCTTAAAGGTAGAGTTCCACCAAAAATCCATGGGCTTCCGTGGTCCAATTTTGGCCAGTTTCTAAGGCCAACGGTTTCGAAAGACGGAAGCTGAAACCCTCCAGTCCGCGAAGGCTTGGTCCGGCGCCGGACGGAAGCCCTGGGTTGTCGGACTGGAAGCGGTACAGATGCACCTCAAAGAGCTTCGATCAAGACTCAAGACACTGGGTGTTTGTTTGGGGTTAATCCCCGGAATGACTCAAGACACCGGGGGGAGGCGGGGAGAGGATAGGAGCCTTTTTCACGTCGAAAGCCAGCGTGCCAAAAAAGGTCGCGGCGATTCCTGAAAGCCAACGGAATAGACGCCACTTTGTCTCACTCTGCATCCCTTTGTTTCACCCCTTGACTTCTGCGGGGGGAGAAAAAAAAGACCCGAACGCCATGGAAAACATACCAAAATCATGAAAAGCAACGGGTGTTCTGCACCCTTTCACTTCAGAACCACTCTCTCCGGCTTCTGGCGATTCCTGTGTTGGCATCCTATACGGCCCTTGCCACGTCTTAGAGCCCGGCAAGGCAGAAGTGTCCGAGCTGAAACCCAGGCCAGGGGCAGGTAGAACACACTGGTGTGTGAGTAGTGTTTTGGCAGATTCGCCATTGCTAAACGTTTTTGAACTGCAACCGGAAGTCTGGGCGACGTTGAGAAGAGGTTGCCGACTTCTTCTCCTGGGACTTTGAAGAAAGTCAGAGAAACGGTTATATAGGTGTAACATGGTGTAACAAAGCCTATCGCAAAGCCAGAGCTGAAACCTGACAGTCTTCAACACAAAAACACAAAGAAGAGCCAGTGGGACAGAAGTTAGTGGGATATACTATTACTGTATGTTTTGTTTCAGTTTCCTCAAGCGGTTTTATATCTACACAGACCTCGACCTGGCTACACGCGATCAAAGCATCACCGTGAGACCTTCGGCCGACGAAGATCCCAGGACCGTGAAGATCTCGAAGATCCCCGGCAACGTCTCACTGAAGCATTTGCAGGACTCCGTTGGCCAGCCGGGGGGGACCTCAAAACCTTTGCTGCCTGTTTTTTGTGTTTCTTCTGCCCACTGATTTGTAGGGGTAACAAGGTCATTCAAGGGATCATTCCAGGGAGTGTATTTGCGGTGTTTGGGGACCGGAGAAGGGAGAGAATTTGCGAGAAGCATTGCTGTTTGCAAGAACATGGTGGCGTTTGCATTAATGAGGGGCTGTGTCAAGAAGGAAACGGTTTGGCAGAGAGGGCCTCCGAAGGTGATGAAATTGAACTCGATGTCTTGCGCTGCTTCGTTCGGTGTCCCAAACGATTAGGTGGAGAAAAGGCCGAAGGAGTTTCTTTTCAGTGGTGTTGTCTTGTGCGTATCAGACAAGTTTTGCAGAAGGAAGATGAAGGAAGAAGAGAACAATTAGAATTGGATGGATGTCCAAAACTTCTGGACCTTTCCTCTGCTTTAGAATCTTCAGATGGCTTTGGCACCCTCCCGAGGCACTCCAATTGGATCCCCCAGCATCATCCCAGCCCCTGTGAGGAGCTCTTTGCGGGCGTGGGGGAGGCCGCCAGCCGGGCAGGGTGGTGCTCGCCGTTCTTGAAGGATAGCCTCGATTCCCATAGAAGCCTTTCTTTGAAGTTATGTTCTCATTGTTGGGAACTAACTTCAAACTATAGCCATCATATAGCCAGCGCCTTCGAACTTCCAAGTTGTGTTCTCATTGGTCTTTTTGAAGCTTTAGATGGTCAAGCCACGGTCTTTTTGAGATCCTGGGAGTTGTACCGTGTGGAGCTTCGATGGTCAAGGATTCTACCTGACATCCAAGACTTGGCACATGTGCCTTTTTCACAGCTTCGGAGGTGAAGAGTGGCTTCATGGGCCAGTGCAGCACTGAGAAGACGACCCGGTGCGGGTGTTTCAGCTCTCAGTGTTCCAGCTATGGTATTTCTATGTTGCTTCTCTCATGTGCCAGCACGTTCCAGCCGAAGTTCTCGGCCTCGTGTGGCCGGTGGAATTCCAGACCGATCGGTACAGCTCCCTATACGATCGCTCGGATGGGTGGGTCATGTGGGGGGCTCCAGGTGGGTTTGGACCCATCCTCCCCTGTGACCCGGTCTCGGACGCCTCCCAGGCGCGGCGAATCCGCGCTGTTGACCTTCCACAGCGCACAGCATGCGGCGCAGGACCGGGGCGACCCGTCTGTCCTCGGAGGTGAACAGAACCTGGTTCTATGTGGCTCAGATGGGCTATAGTAGGCTATAGATGCTATAGAAGTAGAGGACCAAACGTCTATGGCCAGTAGAGCCCTCCAAAGTCTGGACAAAAACACAAATAGGGCTGGAAAATGACCAAAAGACTTAGAAGGAACCCTTCTGGACCAATTCCTTTTTTCCCTGTCCTTTTCTCTCGACTGATTTGGATTCTTAGGGGTTCTGCAGATGACGGATGGACTCCACCTCCTCCACACCAGGCCGCCGAGCTCTTCAGCCAGGGGACGCTGGATGGCCAGACCATCGAGGTGGATGGTGATGGGGCATGGCGGGTGGCGGTGCTCGGGGGCGGTGGGAGGACAGGAAGGTTGGTGGAAGAAGAAGAGCAACCAGTGGGTGGAGTCACCCTGACGGATCTTAGATCCAGTGGGTGGTTGAAGGTCTTCAAAGGTCTTCAATGTTTGAGGTCCTAATGGCCGTGTTACCTTTTTGATCGGATGGAGGCACTCCAAAAGCCCGACAATGGGTGAATATTTTAGTTGCCTAAAAATATCGAACCACACCACCTCATGAATTATTGGGGATGGTCAGGTCCAACGCATATCATGTTCCAACCCTTGTCAATGTGGTGGCAAAGCGATCCAACGTCCCGTCTGGTCTCATCGAATGAGCCGAGCCCTCCCTTCACTCAGGTGGAGCATATGAAGCCTGAGATGGGAGTCCCAACTGCCGAAAGAAAATCGGATGTTGTGCGGTCCCTTTTTGTGATTTTTTGGGGGAAGTGAAGGGGTTCAGAGGCAAGGTTTGGGTCTACATAGACTTCATCTAGGTCCATGCTGTGGTGAGAACACTTAAGTGTTTTCTGAGCTCATGTAGGCACGAGACAGACTGGAAAACACCGCGGGCTTTGGTTCAGCAGCGGGGATTGGTGATGGGGTAGGGCATCACACATGGCCGGTAGCTCAACACTGCCCTTCAACATGGAGGGAGAGCAAGAGTGCAGTAGTGCTTCGGAGGCCGGATGAGACATGTTGAAGAACCGAGTCTAGCTGCTAACTCATCCTTAGGAGGGAGACAAGAAGTGGGGGGTTGTGCGGGTTTCTGTTTGAGGAGGAGCCACGGAGCTCCCCATAAATGACCAACCTGTTTTTGGAGTGCTGAGAGGAGGCCCGTCCATCATAGGCCGGAGAGCGTCGGGCTTCTCACATCAAGGGCTCTCTAACTTAGGTTTAGTTCATGCAACCGAGATGCACTCGATACCTCAATTGTGGTATAATACCAGAGGCATGCACAAAAGGTCGTTAGATATAGCCATAGCAGTAGCCATATATAGCGGCTAGGTAGATGACACCCTTTCTTGTTTCAAGAACTCTGAGAGGGCGGCCCCCCCCAAACATCACCCTTCCAACCCATCAACCCCTTCCCAAAGCCGCCGCTCCGCTAGGCCTCGGAGTTCCTTTGGCTCCTCCAGTCCGAGCTCCAGGGTCACTTCACCCAGCTCACGCTGCAGCTGCGCACCCTCGTCGCGCAGGAAGTCGAGCGCGGCCTCCGCGCCGCGGCGCGGCCGCGCGCCTCGCAGGGCTCGCAGGGCTCGGACGGGCGGGGCCTCAGGTCCTCCAGGTCGTCGGACGCGCTGCCGGGCATGCCGGACCTGGAGGAGAGCCCATCCTCCCAGCTGTGCTGGGAGGAGACGCCGGAGGAGAAGCCCGACCCCCCTGAGCGCACTGAGCGGCGTTCCGTGGAAGGCCGGCGGGTGATGTTCCAATCGAAGACCGTGGATCTTCGACACAGCCTGCTGCACCAGATCGCTGAGTTGGAGACACAGTCCAGAGCCCCGCTGAATCGGAAGTTGAGGACGTGCCGATCCACAACGGGGTGGTTTCACACAAGTGCCGGTCAAGAATTCAAGTATTCCATATTGACCTTTCGACGTCCCAAGCGTGTCCAGAGTTTATAACCCCTGCATTTCTTCAGACCCTTGGTGTTTGCGGTCCCCCCACCTCTCCAAACCCCTGGTTCCTCGTCTCATGCGTCCCTCCTCGTCGCGCGAGGAAGTCGGTGACGAGGATTCTCACCACGGCCTTAGCTCCGCCGTTGCACCGGCAAAGCACTTGGGCCAGCGAAGAGATGCCGCAGACGCGGCTCGCCGAGGTGCAACTGTATTTCCAGCAGAGAGTGGTAGAGACAACGGCCTTTGAGAGCGTGGTGATCTTCATGATTTGTTTGACCCTTGGGCCAGCAACTCTTCCCTGGTCCCATTAATTCACACGATCAGGAATTAGGGATCCAGAAAGGTGACACCCGCCAATCATGTGTGGTTTGCCCGCCCATCATTTGGAGACATACCTAATCCGGTGGTGGTGTAGTAGGGGGATTTCATGGAGGTCGCGGAGGGCCAGGCAAGGAAGGTTTGTGTGCTTGCTTTTGTTTGGTCTTCAAGGTGGAATAACATGGAATAATTATGATCAATTTCCTATACTACTGGTAAGGGATAGGTTCGGGATTTATGCATCAATTTGTAAGACATCGACTTTGGACATTCACGGGTAGGCACTAACGTTGCACAGTTATATGCCAGTACACTGTGCATCCGTCACTCCCTCTGCTTGCTTGCGTTCTTGCAAAGCCGACCGCCCCAGGAACACAGTGATGATCGGCGTGAACTGCGATTGGAACCTCACACACCTCAACTTAGCTGAGCCTGAATACTTTCAGATCGTCGAGCGCTTCTTTGCGGGCGTTTTTGCCTTGGAGCTTCTCCTTCGTATTTTCGCCTATGGTCGGAGGTTCTTTTTCGGACGCTCAGAACCCTACCTGCAAGTCATCTGACCTGGCCCTTGAAGTCAACATCAAACAAGTAGAGGAAGACGCAGGTGTCGAAACCGAGCGATGCGGGCAACACAAATTGAGTTCATGTTGCCCACAGGTTTGGAAGTTTGGGGTGTACACAGGAAACACGCAGCGGGTCCCCAACTCTGCCACATGGCTGAATCGTCTTCCTGCGGCTTTTGTTTGGGCAGAGCCGAAATGTCGTCGCTGAGGATTGGCAATGGAATTGGTTTGATTTGATCATCGTCAGTTTCCAGATTGTGGAGGAGGTCTCGACGATCGTGACGCTTGTCCTGGTATTTTTGCTCCGGGCTAACCACATGGCACATATCACATGGCACGTGGGCTTTGTGGTATGTTATGTGTTTTTCTTTCTACTATCTTTTCCATGCTTCCCTGGGACAGAGCTATAGTGGCATGGTGACCCATAGGCCGCATTCGTCCATAGTGCGTGTCTTGTCACTCCCGAGACGAAAGCATGGACCATGTCACAGCCAGGTGATTCGAAGATATCTGAAGATATTGGGAGGAGGGTCATGTTCACATACTACTAGAGTGTGACTGTGTTTCCTCCTGCTTCCTGACACCTACCAACACTCCTGCAGACTTAAGGAAGTCAAATGATGGTGAGATTCATTTGAGCTCATCCACCACTGCCATCCGCATCATCCGAATGCAACCCGACAGCAAGCAGCAACGACTGATCGGAGAGCGGAGCGAGTGGGTCCGACAATGTTGCACAGAATGCAGGCCGCTTTTGTCTACCGATTTTAATCCATCTTAATCCGACCTGCAGTATCAACTTCTGATCATTCATTGACATTGATCATTGATCACAAACTGTTGAAAGGTTCCCCTCTCATCTCCCGTCGCCGCCCATCCAAATATCTTGAAATTCTAGGTTCTTTTTGTTGGTTGCATGGCTTCGTGTACCAGCACATCACAGTTTTTGATGTTCAATTGTGAGGCGACGGACTCCAAGCCGGCCCTAAAAACCATCCCGGCTTCCCCCCCCCAACCGGTCGGCAGGCTTTTCTGCGGCGCCCACTCCACCCTTCTCCACGCACCGCACGCACCAGAAAGCCCGCCTCTCCCTGACAGCCCTGACCGCCACAGGTTCCGGCTCCTACGTATCCTGCGCATCGTTCGCCTCCTTCGCTTCATCCAGGCGGTTGGCGGATCAGCGCCGTCGGCGTTTGGGGTGTCGGAAGAGGGCCTCCAAAGGCGTCGAAAGAAGTGATGATGAGTGGAACGATGACCCTCCGATGAAGACATTGACATGGAAGTGGAGAAAAACAGATTATCAAGCAGAAAAGTCTAGAGAGATCTAGAGGCATTGGGGTCCAGAGAGGTGATGGTGGTGATGAAGTGAAGGTGGGTGTGAGTGAGTGTGGGTGAGAGGGAGTGTGAGTGTGAGTGAGAGTGGGAGACTGAGTGAGTGCGAGTGTGAGTGCGTGAGTGAGAGTGAGTAGTGGGTGAGAGTGAGTGAGAGTGAGTGTGAGTGAGACTGAAGGTGGGTGAGTGAGTGTGGGTGAGACTGAAGGTGGGTGAGTGAGTGTGGGTGAGAGTGAGTGTGAGAGTGTGAGTGAGAGTGAAGGTGGGTGCGAGTGAGTGTGGGTGAGAGTGAGTGTGAGTGAGAGTGCGAGAGTAGTGTGAGTGAAAGTGGGAGAGTGAGAGCGAGCATCCTGCCACGAAATCGGCACTTCGAGGTTCACCAAGTGCTGTGCCTGCGACGAAATCTGCACTTCGAGGTTCACCAACAAAATCTGCACTTCGAGGTTCACAAAATGCTGTGCTTGCCATGAAATCTGCACTTCGAGGTTCACCAAGTGCTGTGCCTGCCACGAAATCTGCACTTTCGAGGTTCACCAAGTGCTGCACCTGCCACGAAATCTGCACTTCGAGGTTCAGCGAGTGCTGTGCCTGCCACGAAATCTGCACGTCGAGGTCCACCAAGTGCTGTGCCTGCCACGAAATCTGCACTTCGAGGTTCACCGAGTGCTGCGCCTGCCACGAAATCTGCACTTCGAGGTTCACAAAGTGC